TTTTTTTTTTTTTTTGTATGAACAAGTAATATAATATGTGCATATTTTATGCTCCCTTTTGGCTAGCTAAACCGTTTTTTTATGAATACGAAATGTATATATGTAGCTTCTTTTTTTTTTTTTTTTGCCACGTTTAGCCATTTTTGTATGAGCAGGCAATAATTTTTCCACCATTTTTTCGCTTTTTTGTGCATCTCCTTTTGTGTACCCCATGCTAGTATGCGAACAGCACACGTGAGGAAATGTGACCAAGTACAGGCCTAGGTTTGTTTCCACCGCCCGTTCAGTTGTTCACGCTGTAGTGGGAGATACCACTCTGGGAGGTTAACCTTCAGATGGGTTTATTTCATGCCATTTGTTGTGGCGAAGCAGATTCACGCACACGTCAGGTGAAGAGATATGTACCAAGTGGGCACCCCTCACCGCTGTAGAAACGCTTGCACATTTGTAAATGTGGATGGAGTTCTACCTCCACGTAACTTCGATGCGCACTCTGGGATGCTCCAGTGGTGAAAATTATATATTTTTCTTTCTATTGTAAGTAGAACAAGAGCTGGTTATTTTTATTTTTTTTTTACAGCCCAGCTGGAGCCCTAATTCAGTTTCAAAAAAAAAAAAAATATATTATTTAGTCAGAATAATCCACCCCTTGAAGCTACTTTTTTTTTTTTTCCTTTTTTCCCCCCCCTGGATAGGAAAAACCCATTTGGTTGACCATGATTAAGTCACCCTTTTACAGCTTTAACAAGAACTCGTTGCTGGTGCAGTGCTTCAAGGGGGCGTGTGTCTACTACCTTCCGCAGAACTTGGCCGTTATAGGGGCCTTTCTGTATTACCAGTACAGGGTATGACGGAGCGGGGAGGGCGGCGAAGGGGGGTGGAGCCGTGCGATGAGCGGTCAGAGGAAGCACTGCATCGGCTGCTCCCTCATGTGTGCGAACCCCCGTAATGGAGCCCCTATTATATTGTTACTCTTATTTTTTCACTTTGTCATTTTGTTATTTTTTTGTTTTTTTATTTTATTTTTCTTTTTTTTGGTTTCTTCTCAGGCGAGCCAACACATGGGAGGCAAGCGTGTGCCCCTGAGCAACTGCGACGAATCGATAGACAACTTTTTGGCGGCAAAAAAGTTAAAGCGCGATGAGGTAAAAGTGGAGCGGCGGAAAAATGTGTGCCACGTGTCCCTGACGTGAGGAGAGGGAGGTTGCCTCTCCTGGATGCAGGGCAGCTAAAACTGCGCAACGAAGTTATCAACCGCATCGTCGATTTTCTTCAAAACGGTTAAGCTCTCATGCGAGGGGAAGGAATGATAGAGCTTATCCAAGAAATCACTCGCCTCGTCGAGCTCGTACAAATATAAACAGCATGTAATCAAATTGCAAAGGGAATCCCCATTAGTGGGATCCTCCCTCAGTGCATTCTTCAAAAACTCTTTCGCATCATTGAACTCGTAGTTTAATATGTTTGACACTCCCTTCCCATTGAGAATGACAGTGGACATGTCGTTGACGATGGATCCATACATAGATTCCAAATCGTCAAAGATTAAAAAGGCTTCTTTATGATTTTCTTTATATAGGTAAAATATGGCTAGTATAATTTTTACGATAGGTATTTCATCATTCATCCTGTTGTATTCTTCTATCATTTGACTGACCAAGTCATGTCGATTGATGAGGAGGAGAAGGACGATTTTGGCTGACGTCACTTCTATTGGGCCATCTGATAGCAACTCGAAGCACTGTTGTAACTTGTTGCAGTCAAATAGGAGTCTACTCTTTAGGATGTTTCCATTGGGGGAGGTTATTTTTAGTTTCTCCACTTCGCTGAGAAGTGTCTCTGCTTCCATGGCGATATCCCCCTTCGCCTTCTTCTCCGTCAGGTAATAATGCTGGTAGTATCTGCACAACCACTGGAGGTTCTCATTTGGCGACTTTTTCAAACCTAGAAGCGTGTCCTTCTCGTTCCTCCGCATGTATATTTGATATATATACTCCTCCGCTTCTGTCCGCTCCTCTTTGCTAGCTGTCTCGAAGTTCCTAAGGCAGTAGTTCTCGTACCCCGCGTAGAAGAAGTCACGAATCTGGGGGAGGTGGGTGCCATGCTTTTATGTGTTCACCAATGTGCAGGTTTTTTTCCGCCCGATTGCAGGGGGAGGGGAGGCGTACCCATAGCTGTAGCCCTCATCCGGTCGCTCGCGCATAGCGCAGCATCTTATGAGCCCTCTCACCTGCAGTGTACCCTCCATAGCGGGCGTCCCATGGGGTAGATGGATGCGCGTCGGGGTCAAGGGGGGAAGCACGACCAGCCAGGCACGTTTCGGTTACAAATGGCACAGTTGGGGAAGGAAGAAAGTGACAAAGGGACGATGCCCTTATGGGAGGAAGTGTCGAAGTGGTGGAGGGGGGCCGCGCACTTCTCCCCCCAAACGTGCGCTTAAATGAACGCTAAACGGGGACTGCAATCTGGCAAGAAAAAAAAAAAAAAAACATGCAAAAGGGTTAATTTTTTTTTTTTTTTTTCTTTATGTTTCTCTTCGTCCCCTGGGCGCGGATGACCAACGACCAGCAGCCAACGCCCTCCTTCTGTGCGCATATGAACTTGTGGCACCCCACCAAAAGATACATCTCCCCGCGTGAGCACAGTCTGATCGTCTTGCTGAGGAGTCACTCCGACGCCGCTGAACACTATTTAGAAAGGTGCCCCCTTTGCACGTTAAAAATGGGAGTATAGTAGTAGCGTCGTAGTGGTGACGGGTGAGAAGGGTATCACACCCTGCGACGCTCGAACTCGTTCATCCGGAGTTAGTGCACATCGTAATGGCGTGGAAAAGAAAAAAAAACATCCTCTTAAATTGGGTGGAAATGCCAAACGTGTCTCGAAATGGCACAACAGTTGATCTTTGGATGTGAAGAAAAAAAAAAACACACTCTGTACGTATACAGGGTTGGGGAAGCGATCAAAATGCACACGCACGGATAATATGGGTTCTTTAAAAAGGCATGCTCACATATGAGTTGGAAAAAAGAAAAAAAAAAACAGGGGAAGGAAGATACAACCAAATGACACAAAAACATTGGGCTTCCACAGTTTGGTTCATCAATCGGTGTCCCACTTGGTATGGATCCCTCGAGGGAGGGGGGGATAACGTATATTCACGGTTTTGATTCGCTCACAGGATGGGCCGCTAAAAGGGGCAGTGCACCCCAAGGGGTTCCTCGCACGCAGACACAGAAACAGGCACAGACGGGCGCGCACAGGCAGGCACGCGGACAGCCGCAACCCCACGCAACCCTACGGAGACAGACACGACGACACCCCCGCCGGGGAACGACCCATCACTACGTGAGCTTCTGCGTAATGAGCGTATCCATCAGTTTGGCATCCTGCAGCGTCTGGCCGTTGCGCTCAATTTGCTTCAGAGGGAAATCAAAAAAGAGAGAAAAACTCACAGGGGTGTAACTATGCACGAACTGAAACAGGTCCTCCACTGTGTGGTCACAATTAAACTTCTGAGAAACTTTTTTCCCATTATATAATCTGACATGCAATGTGGTAGTGGGCTTAGAATCGTCCACATGGATGTTTTTAATATCAGTCGGGGTAGATTCTGCGAGTTTTTTCATTTCTTCTTCGGTAACACTTGATGTGTTACTTGACCCTAACTTGACCCCCTGTCCTTTGTAGGTTGCATTGGTGGTGTCGATGTTTCCCTTTGTATAGACCTGGTTGCTGTTATCCTTTATGGCTACATTCATCGTTTTATCCTTGCCGGCCAATTCCTTTGGCAAGATACCTGCCTCGATGTTTTGCATGAATTTTTTATTCTCCTCAAGATTTAGATCGCGAAACTCTCCGTCATCTACGATGAACCCATTTTTATATAGCGTAATCCGTCTGCAGTTTTCTGGCAATTTGGACGTGAAGAAACTAGAGACCATGTCATCGTCTGAGTTTTCCACTTCCAGTCCGCTGTTCTGACCGCCTGTATAGTGCGCTACGCGTTCCTTGTTTTTTTTTTCGTCCTTCCTCAGGTCGCTAAGGGATCTGCAGCGGGGCGGAGAAAATTGGGGTTACAGTGAGGGAGAAGAATGAAGCGACACAATAAACTGTTTTATCGTCACGGCAGGGAAGGGGGCTCCCCCGATGTGTACAAGCGGAACGATTCTCCTGTGACACATAGGGGCGACTTAACGGGGAACACTTATGGGCTGAAAGACGCGCCTTCTTAAGCTCCCCTTTCGGGTGAACACAGAACAGAAATGGCCCTCGCCTCCGTGCAGGCGCTCCCTCACCAAAATTGCATACCTTATGTTCGACATGGTTCCCAAGCTTCGCAAATGATTCCTTTTATCCTTTGGGGGAAGTTATTCAAACTGGAGGAGTTTCACCAGCAGGGCAACCTCTCAGCTGCTGTTACAAAGGTAACGTATTTTTTTTTCTTCTTCTTCTTTTTTTTTCTGCTTCAGCGGAGGAGGTTAAAATAAACACTCACTTTACCTTTAACATAAACGTTTGGCTTAAATTACGCGAAGATAGGCGAGCTTTCCTTTCGCCCCTCGGGGTGGAGAAGAAAGTTGGCAGAGAAGGGAAGCGCAGAAGGGGTCGCGCAAAACGGGAAGAAACGGCGAAAGGCGGAAAGGCGACGAGAGGGATGGCAAAAAGGACGGTGAAAAATTTCCCAGAAAATTGCAAAAAAATATACGGTCAAAATGTGCCTTCAAAATATGCCGACAGAATTGCGCCCATTTTTTGCGCCCAAAGCGGGCCTCGCGCCTGCAGGAAAGAACGTTCCTCTTTTTTTTTTTTTTTTTGCACTCTCTTGCCTGGGCATATCGCGCATATGGTTACATGGCACCAGATCCAATAAACTTCTCATTCGCGAAACTTCTTTTTTTTTTTTTTTTTCCTCTGCTCATGCAATAACCGAGGAGGGAGAATTATTGAGGGGAAATAAAATCGGGAAAGAAATCATCCAACAGGGGGAGAAGCATAGAGGTGATGAGAAATAAAGAAGTAGTTCACTTCATTTAATTTGTTCCATTCCGTTGGCATGGTCTTTCCCATAGGATGTGGAGGGGAAGGTTCCACCTTGGCTATCTGTTCATTCTCGCGCATTTATGTCTTCGTTCCCTTCCTTAGGAGTTCTCCCCCAGAGTAATACACAACTGGAGGGGTTGCCAAAGGAAGGGGAACGCGCAGAAGGGGAGACTCATCAGCACAATTGTCCCTCGTCAGCTCGAAATGCAGACCGCCTGTCCCAGCATGGCAGGAGGGGCCTCGGGCAGTAACGCGGTGATAACCTCGTAATAACACGGTGATAATGACTCACCCATTAGTACTCTCCACCTCGATGGAAAATAAACCTACAAACAGGTACATAAACGTGTAGGTGGTGTGGCCACCGAGTTGAAACAATCTGATGCCTGCCTGAAGACACACTTGTGGAAGCGCGGCGATCTTTCCAGTCACCGCTTCACTCCTTGGAACATGGTTGGGAGAATAACGAAATGGGAAGAACGTAAGCTCTTAAGGAGGCCCAACGACGGGGTGATGTCCAATTGATGGTTAAACAGCGTCCCCACCGAAAGGGGAGTCACTGAAATGGGGGTACGCAAAAGTGTGCAGAAAGGATGAAGGTAAAATGTGCATATTTACGTTAACGCTTGTGTTCACTCGTGTGTACATTTTTTCTTTTTT